CACTCTAAACATCTTATTAATAAGTTAATCTTTTACAAATTATAGAGAGGCCCTTGAGTGAGCAGGAAAATACAAAAAACAGACTATTACAGAGTATGGGCCCAGAATAAGGCCCACAACAGAGAGAAACATAACATAACATAAAATGACAGTCTATGGGCCATTCGGCCCATCTTCTCTACAACACACTTGACACTGAAAATCATTGACAGAAACAAACTTAAATAAATTTGGAAATAAGTACTTCAAAGACTTAAAAGACAAATGACTCAAACGATGGTGCCACAAAAAAACTTGACTATTACTAGGCTGACTCGAAGACTCTGAAACTGCAAAACCAACTTTATTCTCTAGCACATAGAGGCCATCGACCATGCTCCCTCTACCAATCGTCCTCCCGGAAGCCAAATCCTGAAAAATGCAAGAATTGGGAAGGAAAGTTACTGAGTAGTTCAAAGCATGTGTAATACTACTGGTGGATAACAAATTAATAGGCATTTTTGGGACATGCAAAACATTTTGTAATGAGAGACCAAAAGGTAAAGATATAGATCATCGACCAACAATGTAGGAGAACGATCCATCAGCAAGCCTCACTTTATCTTTTCCAGATAAAAGGATATATGATTGAAACAAAGTTGACTTACCAGTCATATGGTTGGAGGCACTAGAGTCAATAAACCACGGAGACTCCGGGGGATTAGTAGTCACATGAAAAGCAGAGGTTAAGTTACCTGAGGAAGAAGCAAATGAGGTAGAAGGTGCAGGTCTAGAATCTGTTTGTCTGAAAGCCCTACCATACTGCTCCAAATGGTTATAGAAGGAGCTGATAATATCTTCCTTGGGATCAGAACTAGAGGGACAATCTGGAGACTCATGTGAGGCATGCAAGGCAAGATTGGCAGAGGTGAACTTCTTCTGAGTTGGCTTCTTGTTCTGTTCTATTGCTGATTTCTTGTTCTGAGTTGGCTTCTTGCTCTGTTCTATTGCCGAGTTGGCAAGATTTGGCTTTCCATACAGTTCCCAACATGTCTCACTGGTGTGTCTAGACTTTTGGCAGTGAGTGCACCACAATTTATCCTTATCATCCACCTTTTTCTGATTTTCCCCCTTCCTAGCTGAATTGGTGTTACTTCTTACGGCTAAAGCTATGGTCTCCCCCTCAGGAGGATTCATAACAGACCTCCTACTTTCCTCAAACTGAACTAAAGCATGCACCTCTTGGACAAACGGGAGATCCTTGCTGCCCAAAATCTGTACCCGGATAGGCTCATACATGGGGTTAAGGCCAAGAAGGAAAGCAAACACCCATTGCTGGGAGACCAACTGTTTGTAGGCCTTGTCATCTTTCTCACTTTCCCATTCAATGGTTTGGTAGTAGTCCAATTCCTTCCAGACAGATGTGAGAGCAGAGTTGTAGGCTGATAAACTCCTCTACCTTGCTTGCATGTTGAAGATTCAGCCTGTAGCTGATAAATCCGTGGATACTGTCTCTGTTTTGAGTATGTTGCCTTGACTTGATCCCAAATTTCTTTGGCTGTCTCAGCCCACATGAAATTTTGCTTGACAGAAGGCAGCATTGGGGTCAAGAGCCAAAACATTATCATGCAATTTTCCTGGTCCCACTTATCATACTCAGCAGTACCAGCTTTAGGTTCCTTTGTCTTCTCAGTTATATATCCGGCCTTACCCCTGGCAGTGATGTACAGTCGCATCACTTGGACCAAGCTAAGTAGTTTCTGCCGTCCAAGGGGGTAATGGTCATAGGAAAGTGCAGGGTCTCATAACCACCAGACATCCTTCCTTGATGTGAGGTAGTTTCTGAAGTTGCAGAATCTTCAGAATTCATGGGAGCCGAGTGAAGGCAGCAGACACGAACTGATTACAGTCCTTACCCAACTAGGTAAATACAAAAAACTGCTAAAACAGACTACAGCCCTTGCTGTCACAGATTTTCACAGATCTGAGAGGTGTCAGGCAATACGAACTACATAAAACATTTAAAGAGGCTGCTGCCCTCTGTCAGTCGAACCAGGTCACTTATGACCTACCAAGGTTCCTCAAACATGAAGATTGTTGGGTCTTCACACCCACAAAAAGGGATACACTCCCTTTATACCATTCGGTCAAGCAGAATAACTTAACCAGTTCTTGGTTTCAACACCAAAAACTAAAAAAAACGGAGGTGATTTAAGCTTCTGTTCGTATTCAGTCCAGAGTCTCTGTAGTCTCCAACCTAGGAACAACAAAAAACACAGGAAGAGAACACCGACCTCTTGGGGAGATTCAATCAGTCATCCACTGGCCTCTGGGTGTCGTATGAATCAGTTGCAGTCCGAGAAACAGGGGCAGGGCAAGAACGAACAGTCTTCAAATGGAGTTCGCGTGCGTCTCTTCCATTCTCATTCCAGATGAGCAGGAAAGAGTTTCGACTTGCAGGAGATGATTTACAGAGCATTGTCCTGCTCTGATACCATGTTCCAATCAACAAAGCAGTGGGCGAAGAGGAGAGGAAGAGAAGAGAAGGGGAGAAAGAGAAAACTCAAACTCATACTGGTGGCGCCAGTCTTTTTATTATATATACTAGGGCGACCGTACAAATTAAAAAAGGAAGAAAAAGACCAAAATACCCCTTGTGGCATACACCAAATATTACATAAAAAATTATGTATAGATCAAACAGTTGGACTCTTTGATATGTGACCCGCCAAAATAGTCCCAAAATTAAGGAAATGGAGATTTAGAAATGTTTAACAAGCACATGACAGTCACATGCGAATTAATTGACCAATTGCTAATGAAAAGGCCAAAGTATTGGAATCTGAAAGTTCAGGGGGTATTTGTCACAAACTAAATATCAAGAAGCCCCCCTTGCCTTCTTTTTGCAACCCTCCATCAGAACAGATCCTTAAATTCAATTCAGGTGGAGCTTTTCTTGATCCCCAGCATGCTACTTTTGGAATTGTAGTCCAAGAGGTTCTTTTTGTGGCTGTCTTATGGTCCTAGTAAAGCTAGTTCTCCGATTCATGCTAAAGCTCTGGCAAAGACTTTAAATGTCAATTCTATAGTTTTGGAAAGTGATTATGAACAGATAATTCAGACCTTAACTCATGCTATCTCGGGTTGTCAAAAAGAAATTTTCTTTTGTGTTTAAGGATATTGTGCTTTTATGCAGGAATTTAGATGTCTCCTTCAGTTGGGTTCAAAGAGACTCAAATAGAGCTGCTCACGCTACCGCCCAAAGGGGCCTCAATCATTCAGTTGTTCTGCTCAACCTAAGATCCTTCTTGATGATCGTTCTTCTTTCTTTGTTAATTATGTGCTTTAGTTTGTAGTGTTGTTATTTTGCTGGTTGGTTTTCTTTTCTTTATCTTGTTTGCTTATATATCAGGAGGCAAGTGCCACTACACCAAAAATACAGGGGATGGTTGTCTATAATTTACCCTATTGGAGTATTGGTAAATAGTCCATAGGCTGCGTTTGTTTGTGATACAAACACAAAACTGGTACATTTATGTACTCCGTTACCTCTTATGTGTATTCTTGCTTTGTAGGCAGAGTTTTCAGTAAATCTGCCCTGTTTCTCATGGATCCAGATGGGTATGTGTTCAGTTGTGCATTGGCCTAGTTGAATTCCTCGTTAGAAGTTCTACAAGCTTTGTCATAATAGGCATTAAGGGTTTTCAGTTTTCCACCTACTTTTGTCATCTATTCTGTGGAAGTATTTTTCTAAAATTGAACTGCAACTAATGTAACTAGCACTAGAAATTGAGCTTCAAAATGATCTAATTAAAAAGGAGGTTATACATTTTTACTCCTGCATAAAAGAAATGAATTAAAATAAGGATAAAAGTTAAAAAGAAGAGAAGGCACATCACCTTGATACATATACAGTGCAGGTTTTGGAAGAAGCTCCATGGTCCTCAATATGGGGTGTTGATCAGTTTTAGATGGGCAACTCCTGGGTATTGTCATCTCCTTTGAAGATGTCTGACCACATTCATGGAACATGTGTAGTCCATTGAAAAATTCCTGAAAATTTTCTGAACCCATTGCTCTATGTACAATATGGATCCCTTTCATGGTTATGCATATTATCCAAAAAATGATCTAGGTCTCTTTAAATGGCTCTTTCTAGCTCTTTTTTTTTCCTGCCAAAGCCACTAAACCTATGGTCCCAATTGATGGGGTTTACCTCCAACATCTTGAATGGACCTATAATGGCTCTTCTTCAGACCCATTGCTTAGTACTTGAGAGGAAATTGGGACCACTGCATCAGTAGCCAATAAGGTACACAATATATTATGATTTTGGATGTATGTAGGCCAAATAATGATGTTTGTTTAATATACTTTTCATGATCTTTTGCTTCATTTGTTCTTTGGTTTTATGCTTTTAATTTTCTCAACTTCTCTAGTTCTCTTAGAATTTTATGGAAATAGAAAAAAAAAATATAACAGAAGTTTGGTCTTTTGACAAGAGAAACAAATTGTATCTCATGTACATTAATTACCTCTCCAGTCATCAGTCACCACTACCAAGGTTAATATAGAACATGATCCACAGATTCAAATCGGGCCAGTCTCCTTCAGCCATACAAGGTCAACTCAAGGCACTATCTTGGTTCATTAGTCACAAAAATAAGCTCCAGTGAGGTGAGTATGCAAACATGATCGTTCTAGCTTAGCTATATATATTTGCAAGCTATTAGAGTTGTCCCCATCCTCATTTACATCCTCAGTTATAGTTATGTTTGTTGGTTTGGCTGTTTTTAGTGTTTATGTTAGTCATATTTGTGTCTTAAGTTCTTAGTTATTGGGCCTAAACTTGCTTAATGTTTTATTTGTTTTATTTGTCTAGGTGTCCCATCATAATCAGGGGCATTCTAGTCCATTCATGTAACATTATTTTACAATAATCTATATAAGAGTGTAGGGCCGGCTGAAGAGAAAAGCTGCCTTTCTCAAATCTTCTTCTCTTCTTCTTCTTCTTTTCCTTCTTCGGCTGTTGTATTCCAGCAAACGTGGTATCAGAGCACTAATTCGTCTGTCTGGTTACAACGCCACTTTCTCTGCTCTTCTCTATTCCTTTTTTTCTATCTCTCTCCTATCTTGGCCGCTGTGAAGAAACCCTAGGGCTGACCGTAGAACACAGCAAGGTTTGTATCTAGGGTTTCCCTTGGTTGTAGGGCTCAAGGGGAGTTTGTTCTAGAGATCGATACCCTACTAGACACCTTGCAGTAGGTAGTAGCCATTTGGCTGCTAAGAGAGATCTGTGTGGAACAGATCTAGGTGGAAGGACTGACTTCGATAGTCCTAGTACAGATCGTACGGGTGATCACAGTCTACTACAGCAGAAGTCAAAGCCCAGTCTAGTCCAGAAGAGTTCAACACAGTACAGGGGTGGATTGTTCTTAGTTTCAGACCTGGTACAAGGGGTTCTCAGACCTGCAACAGCTTTGGTACGTCTGAAATAGAGTTCTTTGTACTGAGTTTTTCAATTGTGATCACTGTAAGAGGAAGGAGATGTCTTCAATATCGGGAGAAGTGTCTTCTAGGGATAATAGAACTGGTGGGAGGTCTCCTAATCTGGAAAATCCAAATCTGCATAGTTTGCAGATCACCAGTGTACTGTTGGATGAATATAATTTCAGAGAATGGTCTGTTTCAGCCATACTCTTTATTACTTCCCGGGAACTTACGGGCTATCTAGATGGACAGAAGAAGGAACCTGTAGTGGGTAGTGCAGAGTATGCAGTATGGCGTAAGGAAAATGCTACTGTTATGTCCTGGCTGCTTGCTTCGATGACTTCAAGAGTGGTCAGGACTGTTCAACACTTTCCTACTGTTGCTAAGATTTGGGAGAAAATCTCTAAAATTTATGGACAGAGAAAGAACAATGCCAAAATTTATAGGCTGAACCAAGACATTGCTACATTGAGACAAGGAGATATGACAGTTGCAACGCATTTTGCAACCCTAGAAGGACTATGGGAAGAACTTGATCATCATCTTATTCTTGATTGGGAGAATGCAAAAGACAAGGAGAGGCATGATAAACAAATTGAAGAGGGTAGAGCCTTTAAGTTCTTTGCTGGCTTAGACCCAATGTATGAGAGCATAAGGTCTCAAATTTTGGGAAGGGATGAAATGCCAGATTTACATCA